CTTGAGGTTGACCCGTCCTGGATTAATGGTTCCCAAGATCCCTTCTGCTGCAACGTTCCGTATTTTATTTTATTTTTATACTCTTCTTTTGTCAAGCCAAAGAATGAATACCAAAGATGAAAGACTTTCTCAATAAGAAGTTAATGAAGAAAATAACGTATATTTATGTAGATACCTCCGACAAAAAAGTGACACCTAAGATTTAAAATGCGTTTTAAAAATGAAAAATCTTTCTTGAAGCTTTTATTTTATTGCTAATTCTAAGCTAATAGATTAAATTTAATATTTCCAATAAACAAAATAGTTTACTGTATTTCAAATCGAATTTAAATTGATTGGAACGGTTTTTTTTTAAATGGCTAAAATAGGCCACATTGACAAATCTATCAAAACAACATAATTCTTTTTTATTTAAGGTCTTTAAAAATAAAATGTACTTTTCTGAAACTGTATTTGAGGAATATTAGCTAATTTAAAGTTTAATTATTCTGAAAACAAATATTACTTTGAAATATCGGATATCTTCTTTATCGCTTTTTTTCGGAGGTACCTACATATTATTTTCTTCACTGTTTTACTTGGCACAAGGCCATTTTTAACATGGATGTGAGCGCTTAGATGAGATTTTGAAATATATTGATGTTTAGGTGATTTATACGAGGTGTAATCTTAAAAACACACATTCCAAAAGCTGGCAGTGTATTGCGAGACAGGAGGATTTCTTTGGTAACAAAGAAAAGTTGTTACATGACATCTGTCGTTCTTTACGACAGCGAATGTTGGACGATTTTCCCAAAGATGAAGAATTGACTCGAGGCGACGGAGATGTGGTTCTACAGAAGGATGCTAAGGATATCATTGACTGAGCGTGTGAGCAACGATGATCAGGGAGGAGGGCCTGGAGAATCTGATACTCACGGGTCGAATATAGAGAAAAAAAGACAAGAGAAAACATGACATACCTGGCGAGCTTGAGCAGGTGGATGACAGAACGTAGTTTGGGGGAGGAAACAAAGGGAAGGAATTTGCCGTGAGCTACAATTTCTAGGGGGTGGGGTAGAGAGAGATGATCGCCTATGTCCTGAAAGGACATGACACATAACAAGAAAGAAAGAATCTTAAAAAATTAGGAAAATTAGAAAAGTAATGTAATATGTTATTAAACTTTAGGGACTTTGGCTTTATCGTTTTACTTACGAAGATGCTTGTTAATGAAATGTTTGAAAATTACTAAACATTTTTAAATTTACTGCTCTTATTTTCTGATAATGTCGTGTATTTACAAAAAATGGCGGCATTTAAGGTAGCCCCTGCGGAGGGATCTTCATTGGGCCTACATCGATCTTACACATTTATAAGTCTACCATTCGTCCATGCTTTCAATATTACTGCCACATATGGTCCAGTGCTCCTGCTAATTATTTTGAGATCCTTGATAACATCCAAAGAGGAATCAGCAATATTATTGCTCCTGACCTCGGCTTCAGTCACTTTCCCACCACCGTAATATAGCTTCCTAATTTTTATAAATACTTTCATGGTAATTGTTCGGATGGACTCTCCGCTTTGGTACCTAGATTTTATGAATTTAAGCGCAGTACTAGATTGGCGGCTAGGTCTCATCAATTTACAGTTGAATTCCTAATATTAAGTATGTTTCCTTTTTGTTTCCATTTTCTCCTAAATCTTGTTGTTGCTCACATCTTAGGTCCATGGTATCCTCAGCTGTAGAACCACATTTCTGATTACTTGAAGTCTGTTCTTCATCTTTAAGGAGATTGTCCAGCATTCGTTGCCATACAGGAGAACACGTAACAGTTCAATACTCTTTTCTTAGTTTGTAACGAAATTTTTTTCTGTCTCCTAATACACTTCTTAGCTTTAAATTAGGAACGTTTAAAACATAATAAATGATTCAGACCCCACATCCCAACGTTTTTTTATTTTATAACACCGAGCCCGTAATGCCACCCAGATATTTCAGCTATCACTTTCTGAATGTAAGTATAAATTTTAATCTACCTGAAAAGACATAACACATAAAAGAATATTTGAATTTATTTAACACTAGATTAAAAGCTAGCTCTTGCAGAGGGTTCTTGATTGGGCCTTCATCACAAAATATGTAGGGAAGAGCAGATGCGATAGACAACAATAAACTACAGAACTCAAAATTGATCGCTTCATTTAAGTATTGTATTAATATTTAAGCTTTAAAAGTTCAATGATAATTCTTCTGCCGCCCCTTAATTTAAAGACGATTTGCATTGTTTCCAGAAGAGTTTAGGTCAGAAGATCTGTCCCTTCGTGATGAACCCCCCTAGTGGCCGGCCATAGTTCCTGGATAATAAAACCCTGAATGTGAAGGAGGACAACAGCGAAATCTGTGGCGAGATTACCGAACTTCAACTACATCGCATAGGGAAGGCGTACAAGTTGAGCAAGTGGCTACCCCACATATTGTAGTGATTTTCTAAGCCCGGCTTAGATGTGGCACAAGACCGAAAGTATGGGGTACCCAGTGAGGATCGAACTCACTACTCAGTCGTAATTGATCTATCAAGACAAGCTTTCTAAACATTACACCACGCCGAGGTGCCCTTAGCCCACACATTGTAGGAAGCCAACACGCAACAACGAGAGATAACCTGTTTCTTGTTGATTTCTCGGCACCGCAACGTGCCCATCGCGGATCTTTACTCGCAGTAGTTCGAATGGGCACTGAAGACATATCGGGCTGCATTTAAGCTAGCTCATACGGGGAGCTCTTGGTTGTACCTTCATCACAACATGTAGGGAAGAGTAGAAATGCGATAGACAACAATAGACTACAGAAGAACTCAAAATTGATCGCTGCATCTAAGCATTTTATTAATATTTAAGCTTAGGAGAAATTGCCAAGAAGTAATACGCAGGAAGCAACAAAATGTATTCTTTAAGTTCATTGCTCAGAAGTAAGATATTAGGTTTTATCAAAAGCATTTTTAAATCCCTTTTTTCCAAAGATTATTACATGTACGCATCTGAAAATAATTTAAGACACGATTATAATATATACTAGCTTAAAACCTGTCCTATCGGGGGGCATTATAAGCTAGCTATGGCGGAGGGCTCTTCATTAGGTCTTTGGCTTGTTCATGAGTTTGAAAGTCAATTAAGTCATTGCATATTCTCGGAATTGGAAGTTCTCCTAGCTGCTGTTTGATGTGCGTTTTCATTTGCATTGGAGCTTCTTTTCCTCGCTGCAGCCTTGGCTCTTTTGATTGTAATTTGATCCTCTGTTGACGAAGATTTCTTTTAGAGAGCCATACTGTTGCCGTATGTGATAGGCAACAATAAACTACAGAAGAACTCAAAATTGATCGCTGCATATAATTATGGCATTTACATTTAAGCTTAGCTTGTAAAAGTTCAACGATAATTTTTCTGCTTCCACTTACTTTAAAGAAAATTTGATGTACGTAGGTCCTTACTTTCCGTACAAACAATTATTTTTATTTCATGGACGACTTTCGTTGTTTTTCGCAATTAATTTCAATTATTTCCAAATTTAATTCCAAGTTATAAAAATTGTTGTTGTACAAAAAATTCGTCGCAAAAAATTACTTTAAAAAATCAGCGAAAACAATCGCAGTAATGAAAACTTGGAAATCCAATTATTGTGTTGTTGGACGAATGAAAGTATTTTGCTTTTAAATTCATTGAAATAAAAACTACCCAAAGGAAGTTAACAAGAAACAAATGAAAAAACAATAGTTGTCTGATGACATCAATTAATTACAAATGAAATATCATTTCATATAGGCGGCGTTTAAGCTAGCTCCTGCGGAGGGATCTTGATTGGGCCTTCATCAAAATATGTAGGGAAGAGTAGATGCGATAGGAAACAATAGACTACAGAAGAACTCAAAATTGATCGCTGCATTTAAGTATTGTATTAATATTTAAGCTTTAAAAGTTCAATGATAATTCTTCTGTCGCCACTTAATTTAAAGACAATTTGCATTGTTTCCAGAAGTTTAGGTCAGAAGATCTGTCCCTTCGTGATGACCCCCCCCTAGTGGCCGGCCATAGTTCCTGGGTAATGAAGGCCTGAAGGTGAAGGAGGGCAACAGCGAAACCTGTGTTCAGCTTACTGAACTTCAACTGTACCGCATAAGGAAGACGTACAAGTTGAGCAAGTGAGTACCTCGTACATTGTAGGAAGCCAACATACAACAACGAGTTATAACCTGTTTCTTGTTGCTTTCTCGGCACCGCAACGTGCCCATCGCGGACCTGTACTCGCAGTAGTTCGAATGGGCACTGAAGCCATATCGGGCAGCATTTAAGCTAGCTTCTACGGGGAACTCTTGGTTTTACCTTCATCACAATATGGAGGGAAGAGTAGATGCGGTAGGCAACAATAAACTACAGAAGAACTCAAAATTGATCGCTGCATCTAAGTATTCTATTACTGCCTTTTAAAAGTTCAACGAAGATGCTCTACTGAGAGTTGTGTCCTTTAACTGAAAAAGTGTGACACAATGCACATTATATATATATATATATATATATATATATATATATATATATATATATATATATATATATATATATATATATATATATATATTCGACGTATGAGGGTCAAGCAGATCAGTTCCTAGGAACCGACAGCCATGGGATTTGATTATAGTGGTGAAGGTTTTGTGCAACCATACTTTTGAAGGGTCGAACACAGAGACCTGGTTCGAATTCCAGTCGAACCCACTACATTCACTTAAGTGTTAATACCCTTGGGAAAGATACGAATTCTTTTCTTCTCCCTCCAGCTACGGGCAAATAGCAGGACAGACTGGGTTCTATAGCCTTGGATGGCAACTGGTCTAGAAGAACAACTCTGAATTCAAAACATGCAGAGCGTCGTTTGGGGGACCTTGTGGCGTATATATATATATATATATATATATATATATATATATATATATATATATATATACATACATATATACATATACAGAGAGAGAGAGAAAGAAAGAAAAGAGTAGATATATAGAGAAAAAGAGTAGATAGAGAGAAAGAGAAAGAAAGAGTAGATAGATAGATAGATAGATAGATAGATAGATAGATAGATAGATAGATAGAGAGAAAATGTAGATAGTGAGAGAGAAAGAGTAGATAGATAGATAGATAGATAGATAGATAGATAGATAGATAGATAGAGTAGAGAAAGAGAGAGAGAAAGAGTAGATAGAGTAATATTCTATACTTATAGATAGTGTAATATTTTATACTTATTCATATATATATATATATATGAATAAGTATAAATATTACACAACATATATATATATATATGAATAATTATAAAATATTACACAACATATATATATATATATATATATATATATATATATATATATATATATATAATATAAAAGGCTCAAACACTAATATTCCACGATTATAATTTACTACATTGGAATGAATTGTAATCACAATCCAATTCATCAGATCTACAAATTCCAAAAGCATGATTACGATTCCAGTGTAATAAATTATAACCATGGAATATTAGTGTTTGAGCCTTTTATATTATATATATATATATATATATATATATATATATATATATATATATATATATATATATATATACAGTGTAACCTGGATATAAGAGGCCCGGATATAAGAGAAACCCGGATATAAGAGAGATTTTCTCTGGTCCCAAATTACAGCCTGTTTTAATGTATATAAAATAGACCAAACCCGGATATAAGAGAAACCCGGATATAAGAGACTTCTTCTCCGGTCCCAACAACTCTCTTATATCCGGGTTACACTGTATATATGAATAAGTATAAAATATTACACAACATATATATATATATATATATATATATATATATATAGAGAGAGAGAGAGAGAGAGAGGGGGGGAGAGTAAACATTTATTTGCACGACAAACACAGAAGGAACATTTTGGTGGGTCTAATATTTTTCTTAGGTACGCAATTAAAGCAGTGGCCCAGACGAGATGGGATTCTAGAGGAAGAAAAGGATGAGTAAAATCGGATCAAAGAAACGAGCGACCGACCGACCGACCGTTCCTTACTTGAAGATTCGTGACTTTGGGTCATGTAGAAACGTGGCCAGTTCTTTGATTATTCTCGCATTCTTGCCGGATGAAAGAGAGTGTGTGTGTGTGTGTGTGGGGGGTTTACCATCTCCAGGTGTCATTCAGATCCCTCCCTTCCTCCCTCCTCCCGTTAGACTAAATCAGTAAACATATTGCTTTCTGGGAACTCTCTTAATTTGACCTTAAACCGCTCACGCACACGGCTCGCACCAGACGCCCCCAAGGGATACACAGAACTAGACGTTTGCCATTAGCATATTCTTCGTCCACCGACAACTGTTTTCGTTTTTTTTTTATGCCAACTTCTCCTCTTCCTTCTCCTTCTCCTCCTCTTCCTTCTTCCTCTTCTGGTTGCTTCCTTTCAGGACATAGCTGATCATGGCTTTCCACAGTTTCCTATCTTGTGTGAGTCATAGTGGTTTTCCACCCTTAGCTAATCCTCACGCCCTTCGTTTCTCTATCCGGTCACATAATCCTTTCAGGTGAGTGTCTCTCTGCTTTCCCCTGTCTCTCGGGTTCTCAATATGCCCCGTGGGGGTTAAGCTTCCCAAGTCCTTCTTCCTTATTATTTCCAAAGAATTTCAGCCGTTTCTTCCTTATTCTTTCTGTCGCCATTTTTCTTTAAACTTTTCTTCTTGCTTCCTCACCCTGTCCATGGAATTCTCCTGTAGAATCACGTTTCTGCTGCCGCTAGTTTACTCCTCGTGTGTGGAGAGCTTGTCCGACATTCACTGTCATACAAGAGGATATATATATATCACATAAAATTCAAGCACTCTTTTCTTTATTTCTAACGCATGCTTCTTTCGCTAGTCCAATGCGTACTTCGGATCTCGGTGTCACATTTTCCATCCCCTGTTAAAACACTTATCAACATATTTAAACTTCTGTACGTGCTTGATGTTTATATATCCAACTCGTAACTCGCATCTTGCTGATGCCTGTTTTTTTTCTGTCTTCTTATGGTTAGTCTGTTTCCTCGCTTTATTCTCCCACTGTGTTGAGAAAGTCGCGCAAGGATTTTTGGGGATATATTTTTATGTCCATTCAAGTCCTAGACCAGTGTTGTATCATCTGCTAAGCTAAGTATTAAGAAATAGAAAAAAATATCGTTAAAACAAAGAAATATAAGGAACTTATTATTCAAGGAATTGATATTAAGTTAATGTTTCATTAAGTCCTGTTAGCGAAGTGATTTCGCCATTAATCACATTAACATTGTTATTTAATTCTTTGTATAAATTGTTTCTTTATGATATAAAATATAAGTTGCACACTCCAATCAAGTGAAAAAAGATAGAATGCATGGTTGTTAGCAAAAGGTGCAGCCCAACATGAAAATTACAAATTGGAAATACCGAAATCAAGCAAGTACGACAATTTCAATATTTGGGAAGTGTTTTAACAGAGAACGGAAACTGTGACATTTTTATCGCTGTGGGAAAAAGAAACTCGATAAATATTTTTTTAATCGCGTTCACCCCATGCAAGGCAGTAAAGCCACTAAGACATTAAATATGGAAGACTTAGGTACAGAAGCATTAATAATGAGCGGGAAGAAAAAAGAATAATCAGGAAGACAGTCGATAGCGATTGACATTGCATTTAAATTTTTGCAGATTAAATTTGCCTGGAAAGCATGGAGTCGGGCGTAACTTCCACAATGAGAAGTGTGAAGAAAGAAACTTTTTGCATAGAACTTACGATTACATTTTGCCAGTGAATTGATGGGATCTAGACGCCAGTCAAGTACTGCGTTTAAATTCAAATAATTTAGGTACCATAGCAAAACGCTCATCAGAATAATTACCAAGGATGTATTTGTAGGAAAGACACATAGAGTCAACCTTGCGGCGATGGGAAAGGGACTGAAGCCGAGCGGCTAGATCAGGACCAATAATACTGCAGATTTTTCTTTGGATTTTATCAAAGTAAATACCAGCAATATTCTAACAATGGACGAATGGTGGACTTATAGATATGTAAGATATATTCTGGGTAGGAAAAATGTCTCGCACGACATAGTGAACCAACTTTCTTAGCAGCTGACCTAGCAATGGATTCAATATAGTCTTTCCATTTCATGTCAGCTGGGAATGTTTACCCGAAAAGGCGCAAAGAACCACTTTCTTGGGGGTTCGCCTCAGCGTTCTGATGACAGGCAGAGAATTAACAAGAATTAATTGTATAGAATATATTTGAAGGCTACATCATTTTTGAGCATATTGTTTTATGTCACGTCTCTTCGGGCCGTAGGCGATCATGGCTCTCCTGAGATTCCTCTTTTTTTGTGAATTATCTGGGGAATGAACTGCCATGAACATTTCAAGGGGAATAAACAGTAAAACCGTTTAACTAGTACAACAAGTAACATAAATTGAATCATAACTAAACAATCAAGTAACGCTAAATGAATGTACAATCAAGTAACGTTAAATCAAAGTACAATCAAGTAACGCTGAATCAAAGTACAATCAAGTAACGCTGAATCGAATTACACTCAAGTAACACTAAATGAAAGTACAATCAAGTAACGCTAAATCAAAGTACAATCAAGTAACGTTAAATCAAAGTACAATCAATTAACGCCACATTGCATATTGCAGCGAACCACCTTCATTATCTTCATATTCGATTGGTGAGATGTAAGTTCCCCTCGAGCTGTTTCTTCCCACAAATCGCTGCTTTGTGAAACAGATTCCCAAGAGGATGTTTCCCCGATCACTACAATCTTAAACAGGTATCTTCCAAACATATCCGTATAACCTGTGCCTCTTACTCCGTAACCCTCAACCGCGAGTGGCTCTCGGGCCTTGTAAAGGGTGAACATCGTTGTAAAAACATATATATATAATCCATTGAAGATGCTGGAGAATATTCAGCATATTATATAGGTCGTGCTGTTAGTCAATTTATGCCATGAGTGATACACGCTTAGGCGATCATGTATATTTCGATACATGACTCAGGAGGCAGATTTTTTTCCCGCAGTACATTGCCATTTCTTTCTGCGGTAGACGAGTCGCCATCCAAGGCTATAGAACTCAATTTGTCTTGTTATTTATCCATAGCTGAAGGGAGAAGAGGATTCATACCTTTCACAAGGGTATTAGCACGGAAGTGAATGTAATAGATTCAAATGGAATTCGAACTCGGCTCTCTGATTCCTCAATCCGTGCCACTATCCATTACGCCACCGTGTAGACTTATATTCAGACCTTTACATCTAGGGCAACTCATGCGATTTCCACGGAGTCGAATCAGCGGCATCTCCCCCGTGCTTCAGATATAAGAAGAAATTTCCATCCAGGCAACTACTCCCACACACAACAAAAAACTTTGAGGAACGTGTGGGTGTTTTGCTGAACCCTACATTCTTAACTTCTTTAAGTCATGGGTCAATCGTTATCTATCCAGTCGAGGGTGACTGAATGTGGTTGTTGAAAGTAGATAAAATCTGAGCCGCGAATTGAAGAGGTCAGTAAGTGAGAATTGGGCGGCCTCGGCATAGATATGGTGTCGCTTGATCTGTCACTCGAAAAAATATATCAGATCAGGCGCCTGCAACAGGGATTAGCAGACAGGCATACTTGGGAACAATAAGCCATTCAATATATATATATAGGCAATAATGCATATTTTCAAGAAATGAAATTTATAACATTTTATTGAATTGATATATTAACAAATAACGTTTTGAATATGATTTCCATCATTTGTGATGTAAAGGTTGATGAGCTTTGCAAGATTCACGTGAAGTTGATACAATAACTCCACATTGCCGTCAATTTTAACACATTCACATTTATGCATTGAATCAAGTGAGTTGTATCAGTTATTTCTTCTTTTGGTAAAAACGTTTAATCTCTGGAGATAAAAATAGTTAATGAGATTATTATACTCCGTTTGTTCTCATTTACCTGGATATATATATATATATATATATATTATAATAAAGAGAAAGAACAGTAAGATATATAATCCGGTGTTCTTCTTCTTATTTTTTACAAAAAAGTGCTCAGTCCAAATTTAAAGAGCATAAATATTATAAATTAACTTATTTAAAAATATGGTTCCATCGCTACATAGGAATTACCATGTTTCAAAACAGAAGTTAAAAAACTTCAAACTCAATTATAGAATTATGTTAAAGTGCGTAGTTCTGTTTCATTTTCAAGCGAATTTTTGAAACATGGTAATTCCTGTGTAGCGATGGAACCATATTTTTAAATAAGTAATTTTATAATATATATATATATATATACACACATACAGTGAAATGAACTTAGTCCGATAATTATTTAATATACTTTTTGTTTATACCTTATTTTAATAAATACAATTTAAATAAAGCTTTGTTTTTTGTTATTAAACAGTATTAATTACATTTACTGTCCTGGATATTCGAAAAATTTCGTAGAAAATATGCGTTCTCTAACTGGAATCGAACCTGTGTCCTACACACAGAACCATCATTTCATCTGACGCGCTATACCATTTAGCTACAGAGAAGCGTCTTGTTAGCAAAGTCCAAATCAATGTTTTAAACACAGAATATACGACAATTTTTATCGAACGATCATATCTGCTCACGAAAGGCATCTTAACGTAAATAATGACAATATACAATGAAATGCAGTAACTTCTACAATTATTTAATCTATTTTCTCTTTATACGTTATTTTACTAGATACAATTTATTTTAAGTTATTGCTTCGTTTTTTAAATTAAACAGTATTAATTACATTTACCGGCCTGAATATAAAAAAAAATACTTTACGTTAAAAACGACTCACAAGATACTGCGGTTAACTTTTAAATTTTTCTTGTTTTTATTTATTTTATTTTCTGGACATAAATTATGTATTTTTTGTAAAACAAGGTTTTTTTCTCTGAATGTTATAGTTACTTTCATTGCTTGTTACCGGATCAAGTCATTTAGTAATTGCGCGTTACACCTTGTTTTACGAGAAATAAGTAAATTTATGTCAAGAAAAAAAA